GGTATGAAAGAGCACATATTCCTTCCAGGCATGGTGTGATGCCCCCTTGAACCCCAGAGAGAAACCCTAATTGAGGAGCTGCATTTTGGCATCTCCAAGATGCTGCTGGCACACCTGGCACATCTGCTGGAACCAAATACTTCCACCTGCTGTGCCTCCTGCCCTCTCCATGTTGCACCCAATCACAAGAGCACGGGATGGCAATGGGCAGAGCACGATAGCCCTGCCCAGGGGGTGCCATACAGATTTGTGGGGTCGGATTCCACGCTCACAATTTGCAAAAACTGCTGCTGAATGAAGTAAGCAGCTGCAGAATGAGCAGCGTGCAGCATGCGCAGCACTGCTAGACAAAGCCTGTGTGTGCACTGCTTTGCACTGCAAGCCTGTCCCAAAACATTCAGCAGTATGACACTGAGCCTCCTGCCCTTGATCCCACAGGCTTTACCTGGGTGCCTGCACTGAGGTTAAAGGTGCATAGGCCAAAACCCATGCAGAGCATCATGGAGACATACTAATCCCAAATGGAAGAGATTTCAATGGGCTGAACCAAAAACAAGCTCTGTTTAGTCTTCAGCATCGCCATTGGGGACGCACAACAGTGTTCCTGGAAGCAGAGTTTACATTAATGACCAAAAGAGAGCATTTTTGCTACCTCCTTCCCTCCTCCCCCCAGCAAACCTGGTGCACATCCATCTGGAATATATTTCTTAAACTAACATAGGGTCCTCCTCGTTTTGCTCTGCTAGCAGCCTCGCTTCCTCTGAAGCATAAGAAGCAGCATTGACAGGAAAGAAATGGGCACATTTCCGCCTGCAGTAAGATTTGCAAATGCTCGGAATATTTGTTTGTGCATGTGGCCACTTGCAGAGCCAGAATTCATCATCCTGGAGAAGTGGGGCTCGGTTCCCAAACTCACTGACCTGTAAATCAGGAGATGGGTTTGCACTGCTTGCCCCACAATTTGCTGTCTGTAGCTCTGAAAAAATATGTAAGTATCTGCTGTGATCACTTTATTCCAAGTGCACTCTTGGCAAAATTGCTTACACGAATGGTGTGTTAATATCTGACACACTCCTGCATTTTTCCTATTATTTTTTCCCCAGTGATCAGCTCATCCCCTCTGCCGCCATGAACAGGGGATCAAATCCACAGTGTTCTCCCTCCTGCTGCATGGGAGAAGTCCCTCTGCTGCTGTTGAGTGGCAGTGGGGAAAATGCCACATAAGGGTTAACCAGGGCTCCTGGCACCAACCTGAGCCACAGCCTGCACCATGCAGCACAGGGACTGTCCCTGTTTGCAAGGGTTTGGAGCTTCTTGCTTGTTAAGCTCAGGATTTGCTCACTTCTCACATCCTGCAAGAGTTTTACATCAAGTGCTGTAAAGTGTAAAGTCAGAGTGAGGATGGTAGCATTCCGGATTTCCCAGCCTTTGCACTGGAATGTGACCCTGTTTCAGGCAAGAAGGGTTTGGTGTTAAAGTACCTGACAGCTCACTGGGGTATCGCAGCATCAGAAAAGGAAATGTTATAAGACACAGCCAGAGGAAAAGAAGACCTCTGAAGTCTTGGAAGAAAGACAGAAGTGCCACTGAGGATCAGCAAAACGAATTCATCTTCTGTGGTTGATGCATATTGGAGCTCCCTGGCTCATGTCCAGGGGTCAGCAGCAGCCCTGTGGTCACCACATGGGTGGGGTGCATGCAGATGTCACTCCATGCCCACTGCTCACCGCTTCCAGTGGTTTGACACAAAGAAAAGCTGAGACGCAACAAATCCCCCCTCGCAAACCCTCTGTGCAAACCCTACCCTGACCAACGTGTTCTGAGGGAACAGAGGGGCTGGGATGTGCCTGCCCTGCAGCTCCACGCAGCTCAGAGCTGCTCCAACACGAGCACACTGCAACGCAGTGCAAGGCCAGGATTTACTGGGAACCGAGATTTGTGCTGTTTTCTTGGAAACAGAAAGACAGCTTTATTTTTGCAAACAGAAATCTCGCTTGTGGTTAGCTGCTGGCAGCAGGTGGCTGTTTGGATCCTCTCTGAAAAGGAACACAAGTGAAAACTCATTTCAGGTTGCTCTGAAGACAGAGCGGCGTCCGTATGACCTCCAGCAGCAGTTCATCCCCAAACATTCCTCCATGTGAAGGGGAAAGGCTTTGCTGTGGGAGGCACCACGTCCTGTGCATCTGCTAGAGCCACATTTCTCATCCCCCGGTAAGGAGTTTGCTGCTGCCTGCTGTGTTGGCCCCAGAAGCTCTCCACCTCCATCAATGCACAGTGCAGATCTTTCTCTTGTATCTGATGGCTTTGTTCCATTTTAAGAAGCTGTGGGTGGAGGGGAAGCATTTCCACCCTCCAGGGGGGAGCAGTGATTTTGGAGGGCCTGGTGCCCACCGCAGGCTCTTCTCACATTGCAAGAGGGATGCGCCTGTTCACCCCACCAGGAGAAGGGCTGCACCCCCTGCTTTTTCAGAATTGACAACAACATCAACTTTGCATTCTTGTCTGTGTGCTCTGTGTGCTGAAACTGAAAGGGGAATGAGATGTCAGTGCCTCCTTCCTTCCAGCTCAGCCTTGGTGCGTGCTCACACCTGCAGGCTGTGCTTGCTGCTCTTGCTCAACTTCAGCTGAGAGCTGCCTTTTTGTTTTGTTTTTAATAGATTTTTTGTTTATTCCCCTCTTTTTCTCTGCTGGGAGAGGAGGGAGCTTTGTCCACCCGGAGAGCACTGTGTGCTCTGCACAGCGCAGCATTGCTCTGCATGCTGAGACCCGGGTTTGTAGGAACCCGAAGAGTGAGAGGAACACCTGAGTACCCAACGATTCGTCTCACAGTGATCATACTGTGAATCTGATCACACTCCAGTGAGTGAAACACCGTCGCCACGCTGCCTAAATGCACACGCATGGCTCTGAGCATTCTGAGCTGGCTGACTTGAGAGCTCTACAGCAGACGTCCTCACCAATGCAGATGTTGGCAGCAGGGTTTACCATTGCTCACTCAGCCTAAGATCTCTGATTTGGCCTTTTTACAGAAGGTCTCTATGCTTACTTTCCACTGTGAATCTCAGTCAGAGAAACGTGCTTCTTTCTCAGACCAGCCAAACTCCACGTCTCTGCACAGCGGTGCTGATGTGACTAACTCACGGGAATCCAAACCCAGTGTCTCCTCTTTGAGCTTCCTCCACCCAAGTTCCTGAAGGAGTTGTTTAGAACGAGAGTCTTATGTCACCTAAGGAAAATGAAACAAAACAAAACGCAGAACAAAGCCCATTCCCAGCTGTGGTGGCTGCAGTGAAGCCCGAGGACGCCGCCAGCTCGCACCCTGCAGGCTCGGAGCAGCACACGCGGTGCCACCAGCAGCTGGAAGCATGAAGCGAGCTGCTGGGCGCTCAGCGCGCAGCCTGAAGTGCCGGCACAGCGCCGTGCGATGCCGCCTTTCTTTTTCTGCCCTTTCAAATAGCAACGGCACAACGCCATCGGACCCACTGACCAGCCTGCGCTCAGGGATTATTGCAGCGTGCCAAAGCAGCGCCTCGCGTGAGCGCCTTGGGGCTGCGGTGCTCAGCCGGCACCTCCCTGCTCCGCGCTGACCGCGTTGCATGCAGCAGGGCTGCATCCGTGCGAGGGCAGCGAGCAGCGAGCTGCTTCCCTTGGCCGGGCGGCAGGAAAAGGAATCTCACGGGACGGCACCGTCAGCGCCGAGCCGGGGCTGCCCCCAGCGGTGCGTGCGGGGTTCGGCTGCCGGGCATCACCCGGCATCATCAGCGGCGGCTGAAGCGCTCGGTAGGGGACGGCATCGCACCGCGAACGGAACGAGCGCAGCTCCGCGCTGCGTCCTGCTTTATCCTACAGCGCTTAACGGGGGAACGAATCCAAAAGGAGCCCGAAAAGAGCCCGAAAAGAACCCGAAAAACCCAAAGAACCCATTCGCAGAGGCTTTGAAATAAGGCACAGCGAGCACAAGTTGAGCTTGCAACATTTCCATTTAATTTTGTCTTTTTTTTTTTCTTTTTAAACAGCCTTTCCCCTTACACAAAACAAAACCCACTGCTCTTTCTCTCGCTGTACACATTGCCTCATAAAAAAAAGTGAAACGATGGGAAAAAAATAATTCTAGAATAAAAATGCTTTGCAACATATACATATATATCTAGTTTTACCATACAATGCACAATATTTTAAAATTTAGGAAAGTAGATGTTATTTTCTACATACTCCAAAGCTTGCCTTTTTCACAGTGATTTCTGCCTGCATATAACATCATTCCTTTCCTTAAGATGACACCAAATAACCTCTTAAATACTGCCCCATTGCAGTTCATTAGCAACTGCTGTTTCTCGACTACAAAATTCCTGTATTTCTGTTTGATGCAGAGTCCTAATTTTGGACATCACTCCACCAAAACAACGCAGCACTGACTCATTTACAGTGGGTTTAACTGGGGAACCTCAGGAATGACTCCTTAGGCCCAGGATCTGAAGGTTTCTCATTCCAATCCGTTTCCATTATTCTGAGCTCAGAACGACATCGGTCACATCTCCCTGTGAGCTCTCTGGCTCTCGATGGCTGGGTCAATCCAAATCCCTGCAGAGCCTTGGGTTGCAGCTTTTCTGCAAGGTGTTTTAACAAGAGTGCTTCTGAACAGGACCAGGTGTGCATCACAGGTGGCTATTTTTTAAAACTATGTCTACCACTGTATTTTTTCTTCAAACTTAATCAGTGCTTCACAAAGGCCTTGTCGTGCTCTGGGCTCTGGGTACCCAGAGCTCTACTTTCAGGCAAAACTCGTGAAGAACTGGAATGATAACCCAGATTCCACAGCTGTCACTTACAAGACCAGCCCCATTGTAATACATTTCAACTGCATGCTGGGCTACCATAACTTTGAAGGTGCTCCCACAAAGAACGTTTCTTTAGGAATTCAGAATCATAGAATCCTAGAATGGCCTGGATTGAAAATGCTCATCCAGTTCCAACCCCCTGCTATGTGCAGGTCGCCAACCAGCAGACCAGGCTGCCCAGAGCCACATCCAGCCTGGCCTTGAATGCCTCCAGGGCTGGGGCATCCACAGCCTCCTTGAACAAAGAAGGAACTACATCCAATCCTTACCCCTCTCAGCAGCAGCAAGGCACCACTGTGCCTCTGGAGACACATCCAGGTTGCACATCAGTGCAGTTCCCCTGAAGCTGCTGCTGCTTGGCCCCTGCAGACTTGCTGCCCCAGCACTCAGGGCTGCTGCTTGCAGGGTGGGCGAGGGAGGGATCCCAGTGCCCGACCTGGGATTTCCAGATACAGGCACTGATCCTGTGAGCCCCACATGCACACTGCGTTTTGAAACTGAAGTCCAAAGCAAAAGCATCTGGGAGCGGGGCAGGAATCATCTTGACCTCTGCCGTGTAAATAACTTGGTGTCTATTTTGGGATTCAGTGAAGGCTCCCATCTATTGGAAGAGTTTAGAGATCTCCGTTCCCATCTGAGGTCCCATGGGAAGGTCGCACCGCGTTATGAAGCGACCACAGGGGCATTCCCGTTCTCCTTATTGCTTTCCCCAAAAGGTTCATCGTCTCTCTCTTTCAAGGAGAACTTTTTCCTGAAGGCTTGCGTGATGCTGGAGGAGGAAGCCTTCCTGAAGGTGGTCAACCTCTTCCGAAAGTTGCCCCCCGAGAAGAAGTAGAGCAATGGGTCGAAGCAGCAGTTGGCCGCAGCCAAAGGCAGCGTCACCACCACCGACTTCTGCAGGTAGGCTGTGTCCTCACAGCTGGAGCGCCGCAGCCGCAGCACGTGCAGGTGAACAGTGCGCAGCACGTGGTATGGGGTGAAGCTCACCAGGAAGGTGGCCGTCACGATGACGATCATCCAGATGGCCTTCTTGCGGTTGGCCTGGTTCTTCTTCAGGGAGTTCTTCAGGAGGGTCCTTATGATCATGGTGTAGCAGATGGTTATGATGATAAAGGGGATAATGAAACCCAAAAAGAGGGCGATAAAATCCAGGATCACGATTATGTTGGTCTTCTGGGTGTCTTCTGGGGGTTCGAAGCACTTGGTCTTGTTGCCGTGTTGGTAAGTCCCGTTCATCAGAAAAGGAGTGCTCGTCAGGGTAACAAAAATCCAGATCCCGATGCACACAAATTTAGCCTTCCTCTCCGTGACCAAATTGATGTTCTGAACCGGAAAAACGATGGCTATGCAGCGGAAGAAGCTCATGGCAGTCATGAAGAAAATGCTGCAGTAGAGGTTGACGTACAAAGCGTAGGAGCTGAGCCTGCATAGGATATCACTGAAGACCCAGTGCCCTTGGTGGACGTAGTAGACCACACGCAGGGGCAGGGTGCACACGCAGAGGAAGTCAGACATGGCCAGGTTGAGCATGTACACCTGGAAGGCCGTCCGTTGCCGGAACGTCCTGATGAGCACAAAGAGCACAACGCCGTTGCCAGCAAAGCCCATGATGCTGATCATGGAGTACAGCGTGGAATAGACGCGGTTTCGGAAGTCATCGATGGCGTGTTGGCACAGCGAGTTGTTGAGGAGCGTGGTCATCTCTCGTTGGGAGGCACTGGGTGGCTGGAGAGGGATCTCAAGTCTAAGGATGGAAAACTCAGTTATACAGCAGTTACAGCAGAGCTGTCGTATTTCAGCTGTTGTGTTACAGTTGTTGAAAGCAGCACATAGAAATATGATTATTAAATAGGAGAAAAACCCATCGACTCTCTCTTATAAGAGAGAACAAACAGGAAGGGATGTGGTCCTGCAAAGACCAATGCATTAGTGACATCTCATTAGAACCATCTAGTTCAGCCACCACTCCTACCCTGGCACCTACTGCAGCAGGGTCACATCTTCATACATCCCCAGCACTGCATCCCTCTTCCACTGCTATAGCAGACAGCTCCAACTCCCTGCAAACTGAAGTAGCTTGTCCTTCCAAGGGGCAATGAAGGCAGCCACAGCACGATGGGATTTCAAGTGCTGAGACCTAATCAAGTCCCTAAAAGCTGTGCAGCTCTGCATTCCTCCTTGTCACTGCAGGAGGAAGTCTGCAGCACGGCTTCCAACAAGGGATAAGAAGTGCTCCAACAAGCACTTCTTCACTTAGAGATATAAACAAGCGCTGTGCACAGGAGGTGGAAGGCTGGGCCGTGTGCTGCAAGAACGCTTTGAGATTGCTACCTCCATCAGCTCATGAAAACTCACACAGATAGCATCTGTGTACTTACTGAGGTGTCACGTATCAGTTCTTTCTCAGACGTGAAGAGCGATACGAGATGCTTGAGATTAAGGGGCTGGAATGATCTCTCTGCACATTGCAGGCAGTGAAGGTAGTTACAAAGTATGAGCAGAATCGGGGCAAACCAGGCTGTGTGGGGAAGCTGAGCTGTTCTGCAGTGTCACACAGTGCTCAGGGAAGGAAGGAGCCCAACTGGGAAATGCAAAGGAACCCCAGGGGATCCCAGAAGCACATTTGGGGTCAAACTTCCTTCTGCCTTTGGGGAACCCACAGAAGTTTCTGCTCACGGCAGCTGCCTTTCTGTGGCCAGGGCTGGGCTGGCTGTGAGAAAACCCGGGTATCTCTGCCATCGTCTGCCTAGGAGATAAACTGTCTTATGTAATCTCCGTGCCACATTTGTGTGCACTTCTTCAGCGGCACTGAGATGGATTACAAACTTTTACACCTGCTAGGGACTGAATTTCAGTCTTTCTGATGCTGTTCTGCAAGTCACCCGTGGACAGCGAGCAACCACACAAATTGTTTGCCTGTAAGACTTCTGGGACCTGCTGCCCTTAATTCTAAACGCAGTCTGAAGCGCCTTTGTAACCAGAAGGACAACTGATGGTTACAGTACCGATGTGACCGTTACAGCAGGGGACTGCTCTGCACCTGGAAATGGAAAAGCAGAACCTCGCTTCCCAGCTGAGCTTTTAGCTCAGGTTTGCATCAGGGCATGAAGACGAGAATCCCTTCAGCCGCTCAGCGCTTGCCCAGCAGCAGCTCGCAGAGCCGTTTATTTACACACCGCTTAGGAACGCGGAGCTGCGGGGCGGACGGAGCGCAGCGTCCAAACGGAGCGTCCGGCGGCCGCGGTGACACACAGCGACCATTTCGTTATTGCGAGGAATTACGCTGCCGGCAAAGAAGATCGAACCGTCTGCTTCAAGCTGAGATGCGAAGCAGCGTCGATCATCGGCAAGAAACGTGGGAACCGCCCCCAAAAGACAGAGCGACCCTACCCAAACAAACCCTTCCGTAAGCGGAGCGCAACGAATAAACAGCCGCCGGGACCCCCCCGTGCTTACCGTGCCGATCCGAGCCGCGCCGCTTCGAGCCGCTTCGAGCCACCCTGCCCCGCTCCGCCGCCCTTATAGCGGGCGGACCCCCCGCCCCCCGCACGGGGAGGGACCGCCGGGAGCAGCCCTCGTTCCGCAGCTCCGCCACCCCCGTAGTGCTGAGCTCCGCTATGGGGGGGCAGAACTCCCCGCCCCGGGGCAGGGGGAGATGCCCTGAACGCCGTATGGAATCGACATCACCACCAGAAAGGTGATTTTCTTCCCCCCCATCCCAAAGGACCTCTGGTATTAATGTCAAGGTCTAATATTAAGCTTGAGCTCCTCATGGGGAATGAAGTATTTAGTAGATGTTTTTCTGCAGAATTCGGGGTTCACTTCCATAGCCGCAGGCAGGAAAAAGCAGCAGAGCCCATGGGCTCCATGTGCTGCTCCCTGCTTGCAGGATGTGCAACCCTCCATGTCCTCCTGCTCCCATGGGACCTCTGTGTCTGGCACGGGTGGCACCTGACCCCAGTGTAATGGGGCAGGGAGAGGAGGGGGTGGTGGAGGGTGGGAAGGAATGCCTGGGAGTGGGACCTGTTGGGTTGCAGGCTGTCAGGCAGTGACACCTGGCTCCAGGGCTTCCCAATTCTTTCCTTGGCTCATTAACAGCAAGGAAGGACCCAGACCTGTCCCAGCTGGGTGCACACCTCTTAAATTAATGGTTCAGCATCAAAAGAATGCCACCATGCTGGATGCTGCTGCTCTCTGGGAATGAAGCACAAGAAGAGATCAGCAATAACGTGGACACACAGCCCCACTGCCCTGCACACACTGGGCAGAGCCCAGCCCTGCAGCTGAGCTGTGCCAGCCCTTCCTTCCATCTTCGTGCTTACACCTCTTCCTCCCCGACAGTTTTCCTGCACATTTGCAGCAGGTCTTTGGCTGCACAACCCCAGGCTGGTCTGTCCAGTGCTGCATCCCTCTGGGTGCTGAAGCCTCCCACCACAGAGGTCCCAGAACAGCCAGGGATGGGCGATCCACTGCCTGCTACCTCCTACACCACAGAGCTGGTGCTGCAGCTCCTTTTTGCTGTGTGTTTTGGTATTACTCCATTCTGCCATTCCTTCTGCTTTTTTTTTTTTTTTTTTTTTCTGCCACTTCTTTTTACTATTCCTTCTGCTTTTTTACTACTCTGTTTTGTTATTCCTTCTCCTTTCTATTTTTATTCTTTCCCCGTTCTTTCTCCTTTTCTTCTCTTTTACCCCACACTTCCAAGAATGGGACATTTCCAGCCAAAGGTCAGAGCAAGGTTGGGGGGACAGGACTTACCTCCTCTCCTCTGAGCAGTGGGGCTTCAAAGCTGTCCTGGGCAGAACTACAGGTGTTAGGAGGATGAGGATAAAAGGAGATAAATTGTAAGTTTGGTGGAACAGAAAGCAGAGGAGGATGAGGGAGTGGTAGGCAACAGGTTTTTGTTTCTAAAGATGACAAGAGGTGAGAAACCTCGGTGTCAAAAAGCACACATGGGAGGAGAGATGGGGGGAAAAGATGTAAAATCTTGCACAGTGGGGGTGAGGACGGGGAGAGGAAGGAAGAGCTGTGGGGTGCTTTGGGAGAGGGACAGAGGCCAGGAGGCTGGCTGTGGGGTTTGAGGTGAGCCAGGGCAGCTCTCACCCAGCAGCTCATTGCCAATGTGATGTTAAGTGGTTCCTTTGCTCTCCTCCAAAGTCAACAGACTTTTTGGTCTGCATTTGGGGGACAGCCGGCTCTGCAAGGAGCCCAACAGCCCCGCTCTGCCCTGACTGCCCCTGCCCCCACGCTCTCCTTCCCAGAACTGTGGCAAAGATGCTCAGCTCTCACTTACTTGACATAAACATCGCATCAATCCGGCTCACTGCTCTGCTTTTCTCTTTACAGATAGAATTTCAGGCAATTTTCCTAAAAGCCTAAAGGGTTTGCAGCCTGCGTGAAAAAGCTCTTCGGCTTCGGAAGCAGCTTTCCCTCTGCCTATTTAAGGAGAAATCAAGAAGGCAGCATTTAGTGATAAAGCAAAAATCTTTTCTGCATGCTGCAGCTTCTTTCCTCTCCTGGACTCACTAAATTTGGCTGCTTCTCACTGAAACCCTGCTGCAAGAAGGGCAGCAAGCTCTGCTCTGCCTGAGGTCGATGGGGCAGGCTGGGCCATGCTGTGATGGAGGAGGGTGAGCTGCTGCAGCATCTCTCACTGCTGGATGCAGCTTCCAGAGAAGAGCATGACCTGAAAACTGGGCTCATCCCAGACACCTCTGCCCCTTTGGTGAGGGTGAAATAATGTTTCTGATGAGAGGAGGTGGAGGAGAGTGGGGAAAAGCAACAGAAAGTTTTGGTGTGGGGTAATGAGCAGAGTGCTGGTACGCTGACAGCGGAGCGTGGAAAGAGACAAAGAAAAATCACTTTTAGGCATCAGTTTCTGTGCCCTGGCAGCTGAAACCCCAGAGCCATTGCAAAACATGCAACTTCTGCTTTGCACCCATGGAGGAGCTGCAAATTTTTAATTAGTTGTTCAGAGAATGAGGGTGGAGAGGTGACGTAAAGCCAGCTGGCATGGAAGGATGGCATCAGCACTGTTTCTGCTTAGCAGCTGTTTGCAATAATGCATCTGCTCAGGGATCCTCAGGGGCTTAAATACGTTTCCCCCAGCAACAACCACAGGGCAGAACTCAGAGAATCCATCATCCTCACCCTAAGTATCCAGAACATCCTGCGGCTGCTTCATACTCACTGATCTCCTTTCGTGGGAGGAACAATGGAAGGGAATGGGTTGGGGTGGCATCTCTAGAGCCGTGCCCCCTGCCTGCCTTCTGCACCTCGGGGGCTTGGGGCAGGGAGCAGAGATTGCAGGGGATTCTGCCTGGGAGAGGCTGCAGGGACCCTCTAACCATCTCCATCCCATCTCGTGCAGAAGGAAAGGACAAGGAGCTGCAGCCTGGACTCCAGACAAGCACCCAGGGACTGGGTGCTCCAAACAAGAGCACTGCAGGAGCATTTGTCAAAGGGAGGAAGCTCGAGACTCCTGTTGACATTATGGGATTGGTTTTAGCAGGTGGCAAACGGCTTTGGAGTCCCGCAGAAAAAGTCACAGTATGAGGAGGTGCTGTCCTCACAGAGCCAGCTACTGCCTCCCCTCCCTGCCTGTGCACATAGCAAGAGAACATCTTTGAGCTGCACCTGCATCAGCCCACGGCTCACAAGTATCTCTTGTAACTTGTGTAACTCACAATATGAGAAACACGAGCAGCATTCAGTGCCTGTTGATGAATGGCACACCCTCGTTCAGAAGCAGCAGAGCCTGTTCCTGTTAATGTGCCAGGAGCCATGAAATGTCACCAATTCCCACTTACCTGGGCAGGCTCCCACTGACCCAGACTGGTTACTTTGCTCTTAGACAAAGAGCCACGCTTTGATTTTCCAGCTTTGCTCCCCACTGTGAGACATTGCATTTCTTACTTCTTATACACTGGCGTGCAAACTGAGGACAGAAGTCACCCGTTGCTTTTCGTTGTTGTTCCTCTCACCTGCAGTACTGAGGCAGCACACGAGTCCTTGTGTTCCCAGTGCAACCACTCCCCATTCTGTGAGTTGTCAGAGCTTTGTGCCTCTGAAAGATGGGAAAACCCACCCCCAGAAAACACAGCCATACGCAGGAAAGCATTTCTCAGTTCTGGAGCTTCTGCTTTACTTTTTCTCTGGAAAATAGCCCCAAAAGCCTGGAGTAATAAGGTGGGAATGCAGGCTGCCCTTCTCTTCTTGGAAAAGGGCATTGGATAAACATGGTTAAAAATCCATGGATTTTTGGCATTAAGATTTGGGGATGGCTGCACATTTCTTCAAGTCTGAAAGGTGAATTTATGAGCATTGCTACGTCTCAGTGTTGGTAACAGAGGCACCGTGTGAAGCAAGAGCTGTGTTTATCGGCTGCTGCTGCTGAGATATGGTCCCGTATTTGAAGATGGGCAGATAACTGTCTGTGACACAATCATGTCAAACATGTGGCCACAGCACAGCAAAGGTTGTGCTCCTCCTCTTGTCTCAGGGCAGCCCTGCAACAGCCCACCAGCTGGCTCCAGCTGCCCCTCATCAGAGGCTTTTCTTAGGAAATACCCCATCAGAAACCCAAAATTCTGCCTTTCAGAAGAGCAGCCATTAAAATACAGCTCTCCTTGAAGCAGAACTGGCTGCAATGGATCTGCTTCAGGTGACTTACTGCCACACAACCTTTAAAAGGCCATTATTTTCTCCCCCAGCTCTGCACCCCTAGAGGAGTGGGTCCCATAGAAGAGCCACATGCAAAGCCAACCAGGGGGAGCACCCACAGCCCAGGGCCCATTGCTGTACACCAGTGCTACTCTGCCCTGCTGCAGGTGCCAGCAGGCAGAGCGGTGCTCACCCTGGATGCGGATTCCATCAACACCAAATTGAGTTATGCACTGCTCTTCAATGGAAGCGCAGTGACAGATGAACACAGAGCTCCTTCCCACAAGCAATGTGAGGGGGGGGAGGTGTGGGGCTGCACGATGAGCTTTAAGTGAGCAAACTTGAGTCATGAGAAAGATGAGAACAGATAAACAGATATGCAAAGTAATCCGGATGAAGTCAGCGGGGGAAATGCTGTTAGAAATGTCCCATCCTTTGAGCATTCAGCTGCTCAGAATTTTCTCTTGTTTAAAAGGAAAAACTTAAAGAGGAAAGCCCCAGATAGATAGTGACACAGTTCCGGAGGCTGTTGGTTTGGATCTGAGGTTCAGATAAGGTCCCAGCATCGCAGAAATCAATTGGAAATGCTCTTGCAGCCACCTACAGCAATCCCACATTCGGCTGCTAGAGCACATATTTAACCATCGATCACGGAGGACATGGCAAGGAACTTTTCTAACAGAGAAGCTTGGCCCTTAGTAATCACAACCTTATTTCATGGACCCCACCAGTGGGCAACAACTCACTGCATCACACCCTGCTTCAGTTGCTGCCCCAGTGCTTCCCACACCACCCCATGCCCTCCTCACAGCCATAACCCAGCGATGCTCCGCTTGCAGCTCATCCCTGCTTGAGCACCACCTGTTCTGCCCTGCCCTGGAAGCCAGGAGATGTTACCAAAGGGACAAACATCACCCCAGGGTGCACCACGAGTTCCCAGAGGGACACTGACCCTACTTTAACACAGCAAATCACAGATTGGTGCTGTTTCACGATGAACAACTTCTTGTCAAACTGTTGCAATATCTTTCCAAGAACCAACCGTGGGGTTTTCTTTATTATTATTATTATTCTCCATTAAGGATCTTCTGCAATACTCAGAGTTTTGCAACGCCTTTGCAGTTCTCTGTATTTTCACTGCACTCAATGCAACAGAGCACACACAGCAAGCAGCTCCCTCATTTGGCACACCTGCCCAGGTTCTGCAAGAAGAAGTGCTCTGACCCAACGGTGCTGCCCTGGGAGCAGGGCTGGGGCTGAGCCCAGAGCCCTCTGCCCCACAGCCCCACGTGTGCCAGGAAAGGTGCAGGTTTGCTGGGGGGGGATTTGTTTCCCAGCAGCACAGCAGCTCTGGATGTGATCTGCCCCAGTTCACAAGGGGAAACTTTTTGGCAAGTGCAGACTGCGACTATTGTAAAGCAATAAAAACTGATCTCAGAGATGTTGCTCTGCTTCTTGAGAATCGAGTTAACATTCGGAGCACTGCTCAACAGTGGGAACTGCTTTCCTCCATGGATAACTCCCCTATGTACAGAGAAAGCAGCAGTCTTGGGAAAAGAGATTTCCCCCTTACAACATGGTATTTCAGATTTCACCACCAGCTCCAGCTAAGCACGTACACAGGTTGTTTATAAATATATACACACACTCATGATGCTGATCAAATTCCTGGAAAACCACATCCCACCTGGGACCTTGCTTTTATCAGGAAGCTATTCCAGTGTTTACTCTCAAGTGAGCTTTTTATTCTATATTTCCTATTCATTTATTTCTATTATTTCCAGTTCTAACCCGAAGCTTCGCTTCCAGTAACTGTCCTCTCTTTATGCTGTTAGTTACTGCAGACAGTTGCCTCACTCTCTCCCTTGCTTGGCCATTTTTACATCACACT